GAGGCTTTCTACTCCCGTAAAGATTTACACCCTCGGAAACCCTGTACAGGGTCGCTATGGGTCGGAACCGACTCGACGGCACTTAACAACAACAACAACCTTTCATACTTCCTCAGCAGACTGTGAGAGGGCGAGGGGTTCCATGTCCTTGCCCCAACAAGATGAGCTGTTGTCAGTCTTTTTAATTTAAGCCGTTCTGGGTGATTTTAATTTGCATTTTTCTGGTAAATAAGGACATTGAGTACCATTTCATGTGTTTATTGACTATTTGTTTATCTTCATTAGTGAAATATCTGTTCAGTTCTTCTGCCCACTTAAAATATTTGAGTTGCCTTCTTATTACTAAGTCATAGGATTTCTTTGTATATTCTAGATACAAGTCCTTTGTCAGATATATTTTATGTTTTTCCTATAGTAGAGAGCTTTGATTTTAATGTAAGCTAATTCATCTTTTATATTTTTATTATTGATGGTTATTACATTCTTTGTCCTAAGAAACGTGTTGCCTACCTCCAAATCGAAAACTTATTCTTCCATGTATTTTTCTGGAAGCTTTATTTAGCTTTTACATTTAGGACTCTGCACCATCTTGAATACATTTTTGTATATAATGTGAGGTGGGGTCAGAGAGTTTTTACATTTTGGTTAGTTATTTTGGTTAGCTCTGTAGCTCTAGGTGGTATGTTTGGTCTTGGAGTTTTGTCATCTCTTTGGTGGCTCTTTGGCCAATGGCCAGAGAATCCCCTTTCCCGAATCATTTTAAAGGAGAGGGGAAACCTCCGGTTGTAAAGCACACAATGTGATTTAATTAAAGCATGCCTTTCAAAACTGCCACTACAGTCTTGGATCTGACTGGATCGTTTCGGTTGACCAGTCAATCTGAACTTTGAACTAGAGCCGTTTAATCTCTTAGCCTTCCCTCCCACTACCCCCCAAGTCGGTACTCCTGCCTAGTCCTTTCTCAAAATACATAGGGATGAGTCAGGATTTCCTTTTCTAGGCAGGCATAGTTTTCATCTCCTTTGGCCTCCTTCCTTTCTTGTAGTGAAATAGTTATTGTGTCAAATGAAGAAGTTGGACTGAATGATAACAAGGTCTCTTCCAACTTTATAGTTCTCTTCACATTGCATGGTTGGGGAATGATGACGGGGAGGCCTGGAGGGTTTATATTGGTGCAGCTAATGGAAAACGAAGGAGCCGTGGGTAAAGTGTCGGGCTGCTGACAGAAAGGTCAGCAGTTCAAATCCACCAGCTGCTCCACGGAAAAAAGATGAGGCAGTCTGTTTCTGTAAAGATTCACAGCCTTGCAGACTCTGTGAAGCAGTTCTCTGCTCTGTAGGGTTACTATGAGATGGAATGACTCCATAGCACTGGGTAATGGAAAACGTGTGTAGGGGCAGAGTAGGTTCGGAGTTTGATTTTTTTCATAAAGCTAGTGAGGATCCGGAGTCCTGGTGTGGTGCTGTAGGATAAGCATTGGACGGCTGACTACAAGGTCAATGGTTCAAACCCACCACCTGCTCCTTTCAAATCCTGTGCAGGATCACTATGCATAGGAACCAATTTGACAACACTTAACCACACCAGTGAGGCTGTGGAGCAGTAACATCATGATGATGTTACTGACTTAAGAATATTTCGGTGTAAAAAGATCCCTTCAGTTATTTCTCTGCCAAAAATGTTTATCTTGATTGGTTTCATGAGGAAATATGATAGCCGGATTAAAGGTCACTTGAGATACACAACTGCCCTGGACTCTTGTAAAATGGTCGTGCCAGGAAAGAAAAGAGCTGGGGATTTCTTTTAGATTAAAGGAGGCTGAAGAAATATGACAAGTAAATGCAATGCTTGACCTGTGATTGAATTCTGCCAGGTTGACAAGAGCTGTTGAGGACAGTCAAGGATAATTATGGAAATGTAGACGTGGACCATGTCAGATAATGGTATTACATCGAAGATTGTTTGATTAGCCGTATCGTCGTCAGAGAAGATAATACCCTTGTTCTTAGGAAGAACATGCTGATGTGTCACACTAAGCAAAGCAAAACTCTCACTGCTATCTAGTCGAGTCTGACTCATGGCAACTCTATAGAACAGGATGCTTAGAATACAGTTCTTCAGTCAGGACAGCATCTTGGTCTCTGCTCTGCTCTTCTTGGGCAATGTTACAAAGCCCTTTTAGCTCTGCTGATAAATACTCAAAGGGTCTCCACTTAGCCGGCAAGCCAAAGACGCTCAGCTCCAGCTACAATGGTTGCCAAATCTAGCTCCCCAGACAAATGCCCAGAGGCACTCCACATTGGCCATTTTGAATCTGACAATCACATGTTTTACTATGCCGGGAATGACAAATTGAAGGGGAATGGTGTTGCAGTCGTCATCAAAAAGAACATTTTAAGATCTATCTTGAAGACCAGCGCTGTCTGTGACAGAATAATATCCATATGCTTACAAGGAAGACCACTTAATACCACTATTTTCAAATTTATGCACAAGCCATAAAGCCTTTCATGATGAAAGTGAAAAATTCTACCTACTTCTTCAGTCTGAAATTGATCAAACAATCAAGATGTATTGATAATTACTGATGATTGGAATGCAAATGTTGGAAACACAAGAATCAGTAGTTGGAAAATATAGCCTTGGTGATAAAAATGATGCTGGAGATCGCATGATAGAATTTTGCAAGACCAATGACTTCTTCATTATAAATACCTTTTTTAAACAACATGGACTTTACCAAATGGAATATACAGAAGTCAGTTTGACTACGTATTGGGAAAGAGATGGTGGAAAAACTTCATATCATCAACCAAGCCAAGACCAGGGGAAGACTGTTGAACAGATCATCAATTGCTCATATATATACAGGTTCAGGCTGAAGCTGAAGAAAATTAAAACAAGTTCATGAGAGCCAATATATGATCTTGAGGAGATCCCACATGAATTCAGAGATCATCTCAAGAACAGATTTGATGCATGAGACAGAAGAACTGTGGGATGTCATCAAGATCGTTCAGGGACAGAAAGAAAAAAAGGTCATTACAACAAGGTCATTACAAAGACAGGAAAGAAAGAAAAGACCAAAATGGATGTCACAAGAGATTCTGAAACTTACCGTCCAGCATAGAGATGCTAAAGTGAATTGAAGAAATAAGACAGATGAATGGAAAATTTCAAAGGGCAGCTTGAGATGACAAAGTCAAGGTGCAAAGATCTGGAGTTAGAAAACTAAGAGACACGCTCAGCATTTCTCAAACTGAGGGAACCGAAGAAACAATTGAAAAAATTGCAATGTTGAATGATTCTATGGGGAACATGTTGATACAGAAAGCACCAAAAGAAGATGGAAGGTATATGCAGAGTCACTGTACCAAAAAGAATGTTTGGTGTTCAACCATTTCAAGAGGTAGCATTTGATAAAAGAATCAATGGTACTGAAGGAAAAAGTCCAAGCTGCACTGAAGGCATTGGTGAAAAACAAGGCTCCAGGAATTGTTGGAATACAAATTGAAATCTTTCAACAAAAAATGCAATACTGGAGGCACTCACTGACCTGATTGGAAGAGATCCATATTTGTGTCCATTCCAAAGAGAGATGATGTTATCCCAATACAATACAGAAATCATAGGACAATAATATTAATATCACATGCAAGTAAAATTTTGCTGAAGATAATTTAAACATGGTGAAACAGTACATCAACAGGGAACTTCCAGAAACTCAAGTTGGATTCAGAAGAGAACGTGGAACTAGGGATATCATTGGTGACATCAAATGGATGTTAGCTAAAAGCAGAGAATCTCAGAAGGATGTTTACTTGTGTTTTATTGACTATGCAAAGGCTTTTGATTTTGTGGATCATCACAAGCTATGGACAACATTGTGAATAATGGGTATTCCACGTGTTGTGAACAACACACGGTTGTTCTCATGAGGAACCTGTACTTAGACCAAGAGACAGTAGTTTGAACAGAACAAACGGATACGGAATGGTTTAAAGTCAGGAAAGGTCTGTACCAGGGTTGTATTCTTTTACTATACATATACATATACTTTTACTATACATATACATATACTGAGCAAATAATCCAAAAAACTGGATTATATGAAAAAATTGTCATCAGGATTGGAGGCTTTGGTATGGATTGTACCTCAAGGTAAAGAAAACAAAAATCCTCACAACTGGACCAATAACTAGCATCAATGATAAATGGAGAAAAGATTGAAGTTGTCAAAGACTTTAATTTTGCTTGGATCGACAATCAACACTGATGTAAGCTTGTTGTTAAGTGCCATCAAATCGCTTTCAACTCATAGTGACCTTATGCGTAACAGAATGAAACAGTGTCCAGTCCTGAGCTTTCCTCACACTTATTAAGCTTGCGCTGTGCCAATCCATTTCATTGGGGGGGGCGGGGGCGGTCTTCCTCTTTTTCGCTGACCCTCCACTTTACCAAGCTTGATGGCCTTCTCCGGGGACTGGTCCTCCTGATAATATGTCTGAAATATGAGAGACGAAGTCTCGCCATCCTAGCTTCTAAGGAGCATTCTGGTTGTACCTCTTCCAACACAGATTTGTTTGTTCTTTTGGCAGTCCATGGTACTTTTAATATTCTTCTCTAACACCAAATGCATCAATCCTTCTATTGTTGTTGTTGTTATGTGTCTTGGAGACAGTTCTGACTCATAGCGACCCTGTACAGGGTTTCTGAGGCTGTATATCTTTATGGGAGCAGAGAGCATCATCTTTCTCCCATGGAATAGCTGGTAATTTCTAACTGCTGAACTTGAGGTTTGCAGCCCGATTCGTAACCACTACGCTACCAGAAATCCTTCTATAGTCTTCCTTATTCACTGTCCAACGTTCACATGCAAATGAGGCTACTGAAAATACCATGGTTTGGGTCATAGTCACCTTAGTCCTCAAACTGGCATCTTTGCTTTTGAACATTTTGAAGAGGTCTTGTGCAGTAGATTTCTCTAATGCAGTACATCACTCATAGAAGCAGCAGTCAAGAAACCAAGTGATGCACTGCATTAGGCAAATCTGCTGCACAAGACCTCTTTAAAGTGGTCAAGAGGCAAGATATCAGTTTGAGGCTCAAGTGTAACACCAGTTGTGAGGATGGTGTAGGACTGGGCAGTGTTTCGTTCTTCTGTGCACAGGGTCCGTGTGAATGGGAACTGACTCAGTGACATCTGAAGACAACCACCATCCCGCCCGCAGCACTCTCCACTCAGCTGCATTAGATAACCACTGCTGTGGCTTCACTGGGGAATTTAACAGGCTACAGTTCTGGGTCTGAGGTGCTCAGGCACAAGTTTTCCAGGCAGAACAGCTTCTCCTCACCTGTGCCTACAGGTGGACCTCTCTCTGACCCATGTCTTCATGGCCTGGTCTCTGCTCTACTCCAGCAATGTTAGTTACAAAGTTCCCTTAGGGCTCCTGATAAATGCCCAAAGGACTAAGCACTAACTCAGTGGTTCATTAAACCTGGCTCCCCAGTTAAGTGCCTGGAGGTACCCACCTCCACAAGTGAGCCTCCTACCCAAAGGCACTCAGTTTGACTTGCTTTTGTGGTCTTGGCAGACTGGCACTCCTCTGCTACTTCTCCAGTGCCACAGCTTCATGTCCCTGGGTCAAAGAGGTTCAATGCACAGGCTCCACTCCTGGATCTTCTCTGTTGATGGCAGGGAGACCCCCTCCTGCTTCTGACATAGCTGATTTTATACCCGTGTTAGAGTTTCCAGTTTTCATAATCACTCACAACTGAAGCATATAATCCAGTCAGTGTCTTCTACCACCATCTTTAACCAGACCCATCAGGGTTAAATAAAACTTGTTGGCTGGGTGTTACAAAGACCATGGCTAGGAAAGACGTATTAAATAATTCACTGCTCTGCAGGTAGCTTTGAGGTGTGCGCAGGCCAGTCTGTGAAGGTGTTTAAAGGCCCTTTTAATGCTACCTCAATGAGTTTCTTCTTCAATTCCATTCGATTTCTCACCGTTCACCCTGGGTCTACACTTCCACCTTCTCAGCCCCTTACTCTATCCAAGTTTGAGTGACCGTTAAGTACTATGGCATTTCATCTCTGGGGAATTTGAAAATAGCTGCACACTTGGGGCCTGTGGTAGATGGGAAATAGCTGTAAATTTTGCTTGACTTTCTGAATGTATCCACATTTGCAGTGAGCATGACTTAGGCTTTATAGCGCCTGACTGGACCACTTTGCGGGGATTGGGAGATTTCCTTGAGTGAACCAGGAGACTGAGTCTTTTTTTTTTTTTTTTGTAATAATGTTTTAGTGTGTTTATGGTGAAAGTTGCCACAGTAAATTGGGTTCTCATCTGACCATTCTGTAGTTCGTTCAGGGACAGAGACTGCCCCTTTATACTGTGTGCCTGTGCTAACGTAGCTACCCCTCTCTCGCTGCAGGTGTTCAAGAACCCCCACGAGGTGGTGACGGTGCTGCTGATTCAGACCCTGGGGTCGCTGGTGCCCTCGCTGCCCATCTGCCTGGACTCTGCTTTGGAGAGGGCAGGGCCCGAGATGGAGCTCACCAAACTGCTTGAGTTCTATGATACCACCACTCAGTTTGCCAAGGGCTTGGAGCTGGCGCTGCTCTCCCACCCACGTAAACATGCCTCCTCTCAGCTCTCTGGCTTGTCTTCACTTGCTCTCTTTGAGGCTTCGAGGGCCTGGGTTTGTTTGCCTTTTCAGGTGACTGATTTGATAGAAATGCAGTGGATCAGTGTTTTCTTCCTCAACAGATACAGAGGCCTTGTCCTTGTAAACATTACCATTCTGAAAATAGCTGTGTAATGTGTTTGCCTAGGACCAGTGCTGCCTCAGTGCTTTGCGTGCCCAGGGCACTGGTGGGCACTTCTGCAGGGGCTGACCGGTGAGGCAGGCAGACATTGCTGGTGACGCGTTGGCAGCAGACCTGTGAGGTTCGCGTTCACTTTCTTTCCAGTTGTCATAAAGGCTCAGACAATTCAACCTCAATTGTAAGAGCACAGGTAGATGAGGGGAGGTTTTCAGGGGCAGCAGCCAGGTTTTCAGCACAGGGATCTGTGCTAGGAGGAAAGAGGTCAAGAACGGGCTTTCCCCACATGCTGTGTGAGAGTGAAGCACTCGGGTTGTCATCGGGTGAACCATGCGTGGTGTGTTCTCTTTTCCCGGTTATTCCCCATTTGTGCTCAGAGCATCACACGTTTTTAAATAACCCCGGCCTCGTGACGCATGCTGCTATCAAACCAGGAAACCTCTTCAGGAAGGCCTTGTTCTGCCGTTTGGCTCCTGTGTGTCACTAACTTGGTGCACTTCATAGTTATTCTTTTTAATTACATTTGGGCATAATTACCTGGACATTCCAGGGAGTGTGTTTGTTGTCCGGGTTCCTGATGATTCATCCGGTGGTTTGGCACACTCACTTGCCAGGCCTTGTGGGAGAGGTGCAGTGGAGGGAGGAAGCTTCCAGGGGCCTTGATGTTGTCACAGTGGTTCAAGGGGGTTGAGGCCATGCATCCTTCTGGAGTGGAAGTGGAATGAAGGCGGGGCAGGGAACACGCTGCATTCCTCCGACTGCTCATGGTAAAGAAACCTATCCTCTCAAGAATCCAAGAACTGCTTTGTTAGCCAACCATGAAGGATATAGATATATAATTATTCACTCAAGTTTTCAAAAAGGTAATTATTTAAAAAAAAAAAAGTTTAAAATACTTTGGAAAATACACCCAAAAAGTAAAATTTATAAAGAGAGTTAAAATGACTCATAACTTTATCACTCAGCCGCTGTCAACATTTTATTCTGTTTCCTCGCAGCATGGTTGTCCCGTGGTATCTGCAGGTGTTGGTTCAAGGACTCTGCATAGATGATGAAATCTCAGATACTCAAGTCCCTTATAAAAAATGGCATAGTGTTTGCATATGAGCTATGTGCACCCTCCTGTGTAATTTAAAATCATCTCTAGATTACTTATAATAACTATTACAGTGCCAATGATGTATTCATAATGTCTGTGCTCCCTCACCAGCTTTGGAAGAAGGCTGGTAGCGTACTGGGTTACAGACTGGCCTGCTAACCAAAAGGTGTGCAGTTCAAATCTACCAGCTGTTCCTCAGGGGAGAGCTGCGGATTTCTACTCCCGTAAAGATTTACAGCCTTGGAAACCCGGTACCAGGGTCGCTTGGAGTTGGAAACGACTCAGTGGCACCCCAACCACCATCAACCTCAGTCTTTGAGGAATTGCTCTGACTACTTAATTGCTCTTTTGTTGTGTTAAATACCATTGAATGGGTTCTGATTTATAGAGACCTTGTCTAGGTTTCTCAAGATTGTAAATCTTTCTGGGAATGGAAAATCTCATCTCTCTCCTGCAGAACTGCTGGTGGCCTTGAACTTCAGACCTTGTGATTAGCAGTTCCGGTGCTTCTCCCACAGAGCCACTGGACCCCCCCCTAATCGCTGTGTGCCCTAAGTTGGTTGAACGAAAGGATGTGAAGGCCTGACTTTAATTCCAATAGAAACAGGGTTTTCTATCAGCTGGCTCATTCAGGTTCAGCCCCTTGTTGAGAATTTGCATTTCCACCCCAGATGTACCTAATTGGAGCTTACAGTTGAATGAGATCGCTAGGTGATTCCTTATAGATTATCAGATAGTTCCGCTTTTGTGTTTGTTTTCACCTTTTATTGTGAATTGGGTGAAGGTTTACAGAGCAAATCAGTTTCCCATTCAACAATTTGTACACATTTTGTTCCATGTCATTGATTGCAGTCCCCAGGAGGTAACAGCCTCATCCCACTTCCTCCCTGTGGTTCCCATTCTCATTCCTCCTTCTTTCCTGACTCTTACAGCCTTCTGAGTTTTGTCTTTGAGCAAATAAATGGTTGATTGCTATAAGGCAGGGATGGGGCACTATAAGGCCCTCCAAAGCAACCATGGTGCCAGCCATCATGATGTTACGTGCTGTTGAATTGGCTGCAACTCATAGCGACCCTGTATATGATTTCTGAGGACAGCTGGTGGGTTTGGACTGCCGACCTTGTGGTTCACAGCCATCACATTTGTTGTTATTAAGTGCCGTCAAGTCAGTTCCAACCAATGTCGACTCTGGGTTTCCAAAAGAGCTCTGGTAGCGTAGTGGTTATGGATCGGGCTGCTAATCTCAAGGTCAGCAGTTGGAAACTACCAGCTGAAAGATGAGGCTTTCTGTTCCCATAAAGATTGAAAGCCTCAGAAACCCTGTACAGGGTCGCTATGCGTCAGAACGTACTCCACGGCACATAACAACAACAACAACATAGGGTTTCCGAAGAGCAGCTGGTGGAGCTTGATTTGCTGCCCTTGTGGGGGTGAGTGAATTAAATGTTTGACCAAATACAGAAGACTCCTTTTTAAGTGGATAATTTTGTATGGCCCATGAATGATGTTAGAAATTTTGGCAGGAAAAGGTTCCCCACCCTGCTCTAAAGGAGTGCGTATCTCCTTAGTGGTGGTGTCCACTTTATAGACCTGTGTATTATTTGGCTGAAAATTGAACCATTAGAGTGAGGTCAGTTCCAGGTCTAAAGAGTGAGTAAGGGCTGTAGCCTCCGGGATCCACCAGTATTTATCAGACCAGTAAGCCTGGCCTTTTTTGGTGATTTTGAGTTTTGGTCCATATTTTTCTTCCAAACTGTGTAGAACCTTCTGCTATGATCCTTTTCAGAGTGGTTGGTAGTGGTAGCTAGGCACCATCTAGTTCTTTTGGCCTCAAGGTTTTGCAAGCTGAGGTTGAGGTGGCCCATCAGTCCTGGGACTAATTGTTCCTATGTGGCTTTGATTTCCCTCACTCTCCTCTGCTCTGGGGAGAGAACAGTAGTTGCATCTTTGATGCCCACTCGCAAACTCGTTTAGACCCCAGTTCGTACCAAAATAGGATGTAGAACATTGTTTTTGTGGAATATATTGCAGTATGGCGCTGGTTTGCAGTCTAGAGTCAGCACTAGACTGCAAACCACAAGGTCAGGAGTTCAAACCCACCAGTTGCTCCTTTACAGGGTCGTCCTGAGTCAGAACCAATTTGACAGCACTTAACAATAATTGTGCCAGTTGACTTTGATTCATTCCCTCAAGGAGTTTAGTTACGGCTAAGAAGTTTTCATAACTTAGCCCCCTGCATGCTCCGCTAAATTCATGGGTGTATTTGCAGCATATGTAAATACCTATGTAAAAATATCCTGTGTCAAACCTGTGTGTATTGTGGATATGTCTCCTCCTCCTTTCTAGACTTGTTCAGCTTTTGTGTCTACCTGTGGATTCACTCGTACATTATTGTTACTGCAGTACCGTGCATATAATAGTACAAGGGGACTTCAGAAAGTTCATGGGGAAATTCTATCTTTCAATTCCATTTTCCCACCACTTTTTGAAGCACCCTCACATTTACCTGCTGTCTTTAGCTCTTATGTTCCTCCCATTGTCTTCCTTTGCCTTGATTGCTTTTGCCCTTATTGTGTGTTGTCTTTGCTTCTACCAGGTTAATGTGTCCTTTCCTTAGGGATTCACTCTCCCTTCCCCTCCTCCCACTCTTGGTAACCACCATAGAAAGTTTCTTTTTGTGTGAAAAACTTCCTTTGAATTTTTATACTAGCAGTCTAATACCCTATTTGTCATTTGGTGATTGACTAATTTTACTCATTGTAATATCCTCCAGTTCATCCATGTTATGAGGTATTTTGTGGATTCATCTTTATTTTTGAATATTGTATAGTTTCCCATTGTGTGTATGTTCCGTAGTTAGTTTAGCCTTTGATCATTGACACTTAAGTTGTTTGCATCTTTTTGCTGTCGTGAACAGTGCTGCTAGGAAGCTGGGTGTGCACCTATCTCTTGGTATCATGGCTCTTATTTCTTTAGAATATTCACCAAGTAGAGAGATTGCTGGATCATGTGATATTTCTAGTTCCAACTTTTAAAATAAGGAAGTGCCATACTACCCCTTCCACAGTGACTACACCTCTTCTAACCCCATCCTCAGTGTATGAAGCTGCCATGTTCTCTACACTCTCGCCAGCATGTGTTGTTTTCTGTAGTTTTGAACTTTGTTACAAATACTGGGGTGAGACGACATCTCATTGTTGTTTTAATTTACATCCCTCTAATGGCTAATGTTTGCCAGTATTTCTTCATGTATCTGTTAGCCTGAAGGTCTTCTTTGGTGAAGTGTCTGTTTATGTCCTCTGCCCATTTTTAAATTGGATTAGTTGTCTTTTTGTTGTTGAGATGTTAAAATTGTCTATACATTTTAGAGATTAGTTCTTTGTCTGACATACCAAATATTTTCCCAGTCTGTGGGTTCTCGTTTTGCTCTTTGGGTAAATAAAATCTTTTGATGTGTACAAGTTTCTGATTTTTAGGAGGTCCCAGTTGTGGAGTCCTGGTGTGGTGCTGTGGGATAAAGCAAGGTTGGTTTGAACCACAAGGTCAGTGTTTCAGACTCACCAGCTGTGCCTTGGAAACCCTATACAGGGTCACTATGAGTCGGATCCGACTCGACGGCACTTAACAACTTAGCAAGGTGAGGCAGTTTATCTTCTGCTGTTTGTGTATTTTTACTTATGTTCGATAGTGTTCACAGGTGATTCTTATG